ATAATGGCTGTTAAACGCCAATTTTCATTCGATTTTTACACAATTAACAGGCCATTTTTTGGCATACAGTTAACAGGCTGTTAATAGACAATTAAATGTCAGTTTTCATCGACCTGGGTCGCTTATTCTATCGTATGTAGTAAGATTATCACAAAATGCTCAAACAGGAATTGAGTGAGGAAATCATTTTAGGTAAGCCAAAAAATTCGTCAGCTTTTGAATATATAATGTCTGTCTGAAATGCTTTATTAATCATGAAAGTAATTTATTACAAAAAATATATAACAAACACAAAGAAAAATCTAATCTTGTTTAATCAATGGGTTTTATATGGTAATTTTGTCTTTTTGTTGAAGCGATTTAACATTTAACCATTTTTATACATTTCTAGTAGTTTAGATATTTTTATAAATTCGCTCTAGTTTCAGTTGTCTCAATCTTGTAAATGAGTGGATATATGAAGGAAATGTTTATAAAATATCTCAAAGACTCATAATTAATTGATAATAATGATAGGTTCGATAAGTGTGTTATAAAAAAAAGTATAGCTGGCTCGTTCCATAGCATGCGAGCGTTGCTCGAATAATTTTTCTCAACAATAATAAGTATTTCATATAAAATGGTTGAGCTATTACTGCTATTCTGTTATTTTCCAATGTTAATATCGATCAATTTTGTTTTACCTGAGTTTTTGTCGTTTCAAACGAATGGAAATGAGACAATAATATAGCTAAACGGAGCCGAACTCTTAAGGATTAATCTGAATGTCTAAAAAGGTTCATTTTTTGTTTGCTGTTTCGTTGGACATTTTATAGAAATGTTCAAATCTTTAAGCTACTTACAAGAAGAATTACACCTTATAATTGAGGCTTACAATAGAACAAGTGTGAGAAGGTATTCAGGTAATGATAGCTTATCTTAAAATTCTACTAACGTCCAAGAGCAATCAATTTATCCTACACTTCTTTATCTTGTTGATTCAAGATAGAATCATGTTTTTCATAGGGACAATTTACTTGTGATTGTTTTTCATGATAGTACAATTTCTTATTCTTTTCCATTAAACGAACCTAAAGCGTCTGGTATTTTTGTCACATTCACCAAATATTTGATATTTAAATATAATTGTTATATGAATAAAGCGTTAAAAGTGAATATCGATGAGGTTCATTCAAATGATCAATTTCTTACTCAAATTACATGTACACTTGAAATCGTAGCAATCCAATTTTGATTTAAAATTGGTAATAGTTTAATGTTTATTAAGCAGACGACTAGATAAATATTGATCAGATTTTGCACCCTACTAGTATATTTATATTTTCCAGTATTTTTGACTGTTGCATTTCGAAATTTCTGAATTTTTAGATAGAACGACAATAATGTCTCAAGAATATCAAAGAATACATGAAAATCGAATGTCAATCGTATAAAACAAATTCATTCGAGTTTACCCATTGTATTGTTGATTTTAATATGTAAATAACATATTGTTAACAATGTTAACTAACAATGTGTATAAATAACATTAAAAGTACAAAATATCATGGTTTTCTATTCTGGCATTCACGTTATAAACTCTATGATGGTCTTCTATTCGGGGCAAGGATTCAGTAAAAAATCGCAGTTAACTTCAGTTAATTGAAGATTATAATGGATATTCATTATGATACATTTTCTCTTTTATTACTATCATTATTATTCATTCTTACTCAAAAAATCTGCAAATATTTTGCGTATAGATAAAACTAAATTTACAATTACAAATCAATTAATATTGCACATAAAAGAAAAACAGTTAATATGGAATAATAAACATTAGATAAAATGACTAGTTTCGTCTATTTATGATATAACAAACATATTCATAATATGAGAAGACCGTTAACATGTTTAGGAAGAAAAGAAAATTGAAAAGCATTTTACACACAGGCGCGCACAGACAATAGCGTTATTAAGTTAACATAAAGTTAAAATAGCGTCAGAAGTTAACGTAGAAAAACAAGAGTAAAAAGTTTCTAAACATTGTTCATTATTCAAATTGAATAAATATCATTAAAAACGACCACTTGTTTACTAGAAAGTAAGATATAGATGGTCAAAAAATCGATGAAGATTCTGTACATACTTTGTTCTGTTGTGGTTGCAATGGTGGAAAACGTTTATTGCTCATTGCACTAGACGGACGAAAGGGCGTTGCCGGCTTCACTTCAGGCTACAAAAAGTGAACAAAACGTTTAAAATAGAAGTTTATTAATTCTATGTTTTTGTTAATTACTTGTTGTTGTTTACTAGGTGTCTTCATCACTTCTGTATGTGCTAGTTGTCGTTTAACACTTTGTTGGGTGTTCGTCAAAACTGGTGTTTGTCCACGTGCCAATTGCTTTCGTGCCTTTTCTAATTCTTTTTCTTGTGAATAATTTTCTTTCTCATGTGTAAAAAAATCGATAATAGAAATACCATCGACATGGAATGAATGACCATGTGTTTGTTCATATTCATCAGCTAACGTTAAAACATTTTCTTGTGCCTTTTTCAATGTTGTTTCAATATGACGACGTTCTTTTTCTTCAATAATTGCACTATAACCACGTTGTTTAAAACGACTTGGATCAGATGAAACAAGCTATAATGAATGACCACAATAATATTATGTTTTTGTGAATAATTGTTTGTGTTTTCAACTTGCCTCAAACTTTTTATATTCTTCCCATGCGTCTAACCATCGATGTAGTTCAATAAAAATTTGTTCATTTCGATTATAATATGTTTTCATTTCTTCAAGTTCCTTTTCATGTTGTTCAAGTGTTTCTTCATTAAAAACGTCTATAAGTAGAAAAAACTTAATTGTGCATACGCTCTTTTTTAATTCAAGAAAAATGACTCAGATGATTCTGAATCACAAAAGCGCAAGTTTGTATACGTTACATTTGATGCTCTTATTATACTGAAGAAATACCAATAAATAAAGCTGAAAAAAGAAAAATTGCTTTTTATCTTACATACTTGAGTATAATCCCTGGAATAGTTCCATCTGCTCTCTACTATAAAAACATTTTTCATATTGTACAAATATTTCTTCTCGTATATTCAATATGTATGTTTTCATATTTTGTCGACGAATATCTTTACAACGTTCAATTTCGTTTTCAAGCTAAAATATAATTTTTTCTTTTTTATTCTTTTCATTTTTAGACACACACACATACTTTTATCAAATTCGATGGTCGATGAGGGTTATCAATTGGTAATTTAATTTCTTGATCTATTTCGTTCATGTTCAATCGGTCATATAATGCTGTTAATTGTTCAACGAGTTGATCACCTTTTGTTTTATTCTTTTGATATCGTGCATCAAGCTAGAGAGAAAGAATATAACCTCTGTATTTATGCTTCAATGAAATTTTGAAGTGATTCCAATAAGAGCGGAATTCTATTTTCTTGATTTTTGACATTTTTGTCAATATTTTCCCTATTACTTTCTGCCGCAAAAACTGCTGTATTCAACTCTTTCTTTTGTCTCATTAGAGATTTTGTCCGAACGTCAAAATAATCCTGATTATGCCAGCGGCTCAAACAGAGTGCAGCGTACAAATTGAAAAATTTTTTTTCTTCTCGCTAATCATCTTCCGCAAGATCTATTTTTAGTGCTTTCCGTCGAAATTTTAACCCTCTTTCTCCTGAGTAAAAGAGATTCCTAATTATACCTCATTTGCCAATGTTTGTAAATTGGATACATTTGCTTTTGATAATTCAATTGTTTCAAATGGTTCATCAATCAATCTTAGTAACGCAATATTATTGTTATCATTACTGTTATCTGCTGTTAAATTATAATTATTATCAAGTTCTAGTTCAATTTTCATTTGATGTAGTTGTTCACGATATTGTTTGACATGAGAGGATCTTTCAACCTACAAAATAAAATACGTAGATAAATCACAATCAAAATTGTATATCTGAACAAAATAATTAATAGTGTGTGTACAACAATCATTTTTATTCTAGAATTTGCCTAGTAAACAGAATACGAAAAGAAATTCGGTTTCATTCTTTTCAAGACTTCTTCTTATTCTCGTAATACATAAGAAATCTTTCTACAGTCTATAACTGGTTCTAGTTACGCGAGAAAAGTGCACACTAAAATGCACACTACCTGAAAATTTGTTAAATCATGAATGCGATTTTCTAATACTGTTTTTCGTCTTGCAAATGGTGTTTCATCTACAAAAGAAAATATAGCATATAGATTAATATATTTCTAATTGAAAATACATACCTTCATTATCAAATTCAACTATTGCTTCATTTAATTTTTGACATAATTTTTCTTCTTGGATACGTAATTCATTTATTTCTGTTGTTTTTGTTTTTAACACATGTTTTGATGATTCAAGTAGATTATTTGCCCGTTTCATTTGTTCAAATATTGTTAAACCATCATGTGGTTTTTCAATAGTCCATTCTAATTCAAGTAAATGATTTAAATGATCACATTCATTCATAATATTATCAATAGTTATTATTAGATTATCATTTTTATCTTTTTCAATTTGAATAAATTGATTTAATGATTCCTACAAATAAAATATTTTATTATTCATTTTGTTGACCATTTTGAAGACAAATACGTACCTTTAAAGCGTTAATAACAATTTCTTCTTGTGAAACAATTTCATGTTCATTTAAACCTCTTTTAAATAAATATTGTTTCATTAGTAATAAATCACTTTCAACTGAGCGATAAAATGGTAAATGTTCAATAGAACATTCAAATGATTGATCTTCTGAATTGCTTGTTCTAAAATAAACATTATTTAGAACAATGACAATAAAGAAAATTATTACATACCGGTCAAGTATTGATACCGTACGATCGACTATTGTTGAACTGACTGGTATCACTTCTTCAAGACTAAACGTTCTATCACTCATATTTTTCTAAAAATAAATAGAAAATAACTGTAAACACGTGATCATACAGCAAATATTCGTTTCATCTCCGAACTCCAACAAAATTAGATATGGAGAAAGAGTAAGTTTTATTTATTCAATGTCTAAAGTGTCATTACAGATTGTAAAATCGCTAATCAACATGCAACTAATCCGGCATTACTGTGATTCTACTTAGCCAGGCAATATAAATAACATAATCCAGCATGCAAATAAAGTTAAGCTTCTAGTCGATTATTCATATGTATTCATCAAATAGCTTATTTGCAATCAAAATGTGACAGAATGACAACTGTATCTCTTACATGGGGCTGTTCGTCTGAAACTGATTTTTGATACCATGATCAAAATCAAACGCTTAAAATTTTGGTTATTATAGAACTTCTACTTGTCTATTTCTTTTACTAGACGTAGTCCATGTAAGATTTGTTAAGTAAAATTGAACTTTAACCTAATCACAAACTAAGAAAATATTGTTTCCTTTATCAAATCGTAAATAGATCTTTTTTTTTGTCTAGTAATATTATGCATTCACTGTTGAGCAAATAGAAAATTCATAAAATCACTATTTCTAATCTAATTGGGTCATTATCTTCTACATATACACAAGTCTACTCAATTCTGCTGAATGTCTACTGAAAAATAAATTAAATTTGTCTCTACTGATTGCTTAGATTGAGAATTATAACCAGTAATAACGTTACAGAAAATTCTTCCTCTGTGTATCTACTAAAAGAAGAATTGCACGAACAAAAGGATAGAAACACATCAAACGATTTTCAAAAAAAACTTTACAAGAACCGTTGAAACAAAGAAAAAATAATGATCAGAGACAAAGATAATATAAATTAATTTTTCAAGACTTATGCGTATAGATTGTTGGCTGTACCACACTGTATAATTTGAAAAAAAACAGAATATATTCAAAATGAAGCGTGTCTAGTTAATAACAGATATTTTTCGTTTTTGTGAAGATATATGAATATTATTTATCTTACCCTGTATTCTTTACGTTTTTCACTAACATTTTTTTTAATATTTGAAATATTGATTTGACTAGTGTCTTCCATAATCAAAATACAAGAGGAATAACGATAGAAGAAGGATAAGTGTGTAATAAGTATGTTTGTATTGTATTGTATTGTATTATGAGTGTATATATTACGTCTGAACAAATTCTTTTATTATAAAGAGTAAACTTTTAAAAGTTTTCGAAATTATCATTTTGTAAATAAAAAAAATATATCCAGTTGTCACATTTACTACGTAGATAGAAAAAAGAGCTGATTTGACGGAAGAGAAAAGCTTTTTTCGTTTTTTGATATCTCATGATAAATTTTCTGTTTTTCTTCTATGAGAGTAAGTAGAATTTCCTCGTTCCTTCTTTTTTTTTTTTGACAATAAAAGAGTGAAGTAGGCCTATATCGCTCACGAAAAGGACAGAAAAAAACACATTTTTTGATGGCACGGAAGAGTCATGGCACGAGCTGTTGCGATATATATTTTTTTTTTACTACATATAGTTTATAGTTGAACTTAGAGGGAAAAAAAGCATTTGAGATTTGCTTCATGCTTTCTAGTTGAACAGAAAAAAATGCGCGAGAAAATGCGTTGTAGTAGAAAAAATACAGTCAGCTCGTATTTAAAGAGAAATGAACGATTAACTCATGAACCCTAATAAGAATGAAAAACAATGACACACTTTTCTGGTCTAAAAAAGACAGACATACAACAGTTAAAGATATATATACAAGACTAATCAGTGTCTTTAGAAGGTGTAAATCACTGCTTATTCAGAGAAAAGAGTTTCTTCTACTGAAAATGTTTCTGTGAAAGATAAATTCTATGTATGTATTGTAACTTTAGATTAGCATAATTTTTATCATTTAGAACAAACAAGCAAGCAAAATCATTAACATAAAGCTTTTATCTCAAAAAATAAACAAAGTCAACAGTGCCGGAAACAGAAGCATATATATTACGCTTACCAAAGAAGAAAAATCACTTTTTTTCACCTATCTTGTTGCTTTTCCTTCTTGACACACTACTCCTACAAATAAAATAGCTAAATCCTTTTTCTTGTAGCACGGAACACACAAACACTAAAACGCCAATACCCTAGACAGTAGAAAAATAGCAAACTTAAAATGTTTTCAAGAGAGCTGAAAAAATTGTTTTATGTTGTTTTGAATTTTGAGTAATTCCCTTTTGTAAACTATTTTTGTACATAATAATATAAAACAAGTATAACAAATCTTTCTGTCATTTGTAAGAGTGCAAACTTTAGAGTCTGTTTAGAGTCTTTGCACACGTTTTCATCAAAAATAATTGAGCTCATGATCACATTGCCCGTCTACTACTTCTAGAGAGATCACCCTCGGACACTTTCTTTATACCGTGCATCCAATTTCAATCATACTTTTAACATAAATAGATCCCAATAATAAACCTGCATGAAAAGAATTTGAGACTAAAATGTTTAGCAGTTCAAAAGTTATAGGAATCGCCAAGATCAAAACAGGACATCCATTATGTTACCGAAATCTCAAAAGTTGCTGACCTCAGTGAGTATACTTGACGATAGGTGCCCGAGTACTTGCACTTTTCTTAGCTACCCTGCTAGATAAATGTTATAGGTGTTTGAATTTTGTCAAGTAAGTGTAACTTGAGAGGTGCCCAATTACTTACGCTGGACGCAGCATAGGTACCAAATTTCTTTTCGTTCATCGTTTTGTTTCGCGTTCAGACATATATAAAAGAAAAACATATGTGTACAAGAATGACGTGTTTTTATCTTCACACGATCACCTAAAATGGTTGGCCGTTTAGATACCGACTAAGTAATATTTTACTTGCAAGCACCTATGACATTCTTGTAGCAGGATACCTAACTGGAGTACCTATGTTCAACTATATTCACTGGGGAAAATTCATTTTTCGATCTCACCATCTCTTTTTGTCAAAGACTGCACTTTATGTTTCAAAAAATTGACTTTTTTGTCTGCAGAAAGCTAGAGTTTTATTGAAATTAAAAGCGAATTTTAATACTATGTTCATGTCCTCCTGCAACTTAAAAAGAATTATCAGTTGATCTATTGGCAAACCCAGTCTAGCAGCAAGCAGCTATTGACAGATCGGTTAAAAACATTTCTGACAAACTGTCTATCGCTCACGCTGAATTGAAGCTACTTATTAGGCTGACTCTCATCCTCACTTCAGTTATTGTACTAAAAACTAAATTGTTTCATTCAAATCGACTAAGACAAGAACAGTTTTGTTTCCAGTTTCAATTTATTCTGTAGAATTATTATGATGGGTGAGACCTTCCGTGAAAATGATACCATAAGTACAGTACAAGTGTCAGAATCGTTAAGATATTTTACTGAAGATTAATTACAGCACTTTTGAAGTTTATCAAAGCTTATTACTCGTGAAAAGAAAATCGTTCAAAGCTGATTTATGTTTTATTTTGAATAACAGAAACAGCCCTGAAGCCCGCGTTGTTAATGAATTTTGTTTTCTTTTTAAACAGCACAGATATTTTAAAAGGCCTGTTTTTCAGGCCTTTCGGAAATCTTTCTGAAAAAGAAACAAGATAAATGAGCTATACTAAACTTGGTATAGATTCCGAAAGTACACACTCTGATATATTCGAGTACTTTACACAATACAGTACATTTCTCAATTTTCTAAGTTTTGGGATAATCGTCTTTTATGATAGTTAAATATGATAAAGGAGAGGTAAGGTTGCTGATCAGTCCATTTAATTTTTTGCTAAAAAGGGTTCTGTGAGTGGTAGAAAAGTAGTTTCAGTCGGTTTTAAGTAATTTCGCGTACTTTTGGTAACTAAAATCCAAGTAATTCCTCGTCAATAGGCGCCAATATCTCATTCCTCAAAGATCAGGGACAGGTTATGTAAAATGTGTTTTTATCATGTTTCTTTCACGTAGACGGCAAAGTAAATATATCGTTGGATGTCTTAAAATTCTCTGCAGACTGCGTGTAAAATAGCAGTTAACCGCAGTGCTTTGATAGCAGCAGGACGCCTAGAATAGTCCAGATATACACCACACAGTCCTCGCTTGTGTAGTCCCTTTTCCTCTCAAACAAGAAAACGTATATTTTTCTATTAGATATCATTTCGAAGCTCATGAAATTTGCTATAAATTGCCAAATTCAGAATTTCAAGACCGATGGGGCCGGTTCCTAGAAAATGGATCAGAAGTAGAAGTAAACCGACTAGGGAAAAATGTGACATACTTTCAGTTTTTACTATTCGTTATACTAGTAAAAAACATGTACATTTTGTATCATATATCATTTTAAAGCTTGTCGAATTTCCTACCAATCGAGCCATATACGATATCATAATCAGTAGGTTCAGCTTCTGTAGTTTAGCCGTGGTATCAGTTTTGCTGGGAGTCGCAAGACTGATATTACATAACTTCGAATAACCTCTAAAGTGAATGGAGACATAGATTGTAGACCATACTGAATCTTGTGGTAATATTTCTTGTCACGAAAAGGTGAGTAAACCTAGTGAAATTGAGTTTTTTAGGGAAATATACTAATTTAGCTATAACTGTACAAGAATAAAAGACTCCATTCTCCCTCAAAATCCCACCAAAAGCCCTTAAGCCTTTAAGAACCTGATCAGACGAGTAGATTTAATACTGAGAACACCAAAACAACTCTAAACTAATATTCTCTTACGGTAGCTTTCTAGAAAGCTCTGAAAACCCCGATAATAATAAAATACATATTATTATTTTTTCTGACTCTGCCAACATGTAAAACAAGGGAGAGAAAGTATTTTCTGAGGATTTCAAGGGGTTTAGTGATGGATTACAACATGATGTCAGCAAATAGAGTTTAGCATATCTCATGCGTAGTTTTCTAAAATTTACCATTTTTTACTGAAAGATTTATTCACTATGCTGATTATAGTGGTAATATTTGTTTTATCATAACTCTTCACATTC